CCATCCGAACCAAGCCAAAGGCTTTGGTTCGCTTCCTCCATTTCGCCAAATTCCTTACGGTTTGAGAGTATCTGCGTTTTAATATGAAGAGACCGTCAATTTGTAGTCTCTTTTGCTAGAGCTTTGCACAGATCGTCCTCTTGTAATCTTCGTCTTGGCTCCTTGAGAATATGAGAGTCGTCAGATTGTAACTCCCGATGTTGATTGTGAATGCTGTTGAATTAGAGCTTTCATCGGTTGTCGTGAAGGTCGTCAGATTGTAGCCTTCTACGCGGAAGTCCTCAAATTATAGCCTTCTGGAAGTCGTCAGATTGTAACTTCCATCATCGGTGTTTGATGGGGGATCAACTATCTATTGTGATTTTTAGACAGCCTACAAAGTGCTAAGAAGAGTCGAGGAAAAGGTATTGTTTTATGCATCTGGTTTGCTGATTCAGTATTTCTTGTTTGGTTGATTGCTAAGTACTTCTTGTTGGCTTTCTTATTGTTTTATATATTTTGAGAATATGATGATGTTGAAATGGTATTATAAATCGCAGAAACCTGTTACTGTTATATGTTTTGCTACGACCGCTTGAGGGGTCAAGGAATCCAACAGAATGTTTAGAGTTGTTGAATTGTCTGATCAGTGAATTAGATCCCCCGACGATGACATGGAGGGATTACTTCTTTAGATCTGTCTATTTTTAGAAATATTTGATCTTTGAATTGGAAAAGTATAAAAATAAGGACTTACTGTGGGGTTTTATTCTGTGCAGTTGTGCCTACGGGATTAGCTACTGCCTTGGATGTAAACCTGAGCAATGAGTCCCTTGTTTTCATATCGGTTACATTTGCGACAATGGTTCGTTCTTTTGGGTTATATATGAATGGTATATGTTGTGCATCTTCATAATCTTTGGTCTCATGTTGTTTTGCAGTGCAAATCTGCAGCACCGATATTTTTCCTGTCTGTCACCATCTAGTATGGAAGAATTTTGTAGCAAATATCTCTTCCCTTGTTCTTTAAAATAGTTGTGAAGAACAAGTACTTATTTCATGATCTCTATGTTTCATCCTTGCTTGATTGCCAAGAAAGTGGAGAGATTACTGTATGTTTGATTAATGTATTGTCTATAATGCTGCTCAATCTATAATGCTGCTCATCTTTTATATAGGCCTATGGCATGGCTGCTAACAGGAGATCTTTATGCTTCAAACGACCAAGGTGCCATGTGTACTCATCCTCTCTGAGAGCTTCAAACTGAGCTGCTATCTGCTCTTGAGCAGTTCGCAACTTTGTGCTACGATGTGTATTACTAGCTCTTCATGTTGTAACCGAAACATTGATGCATGAACTCGAAACATTGATGTAACCGTGTTGTTTTGCTTGTGTTGTATTGCAGGACCAAATATAGTAAACGAAACATTGTTGTAACTGTGTTGTTTTGCAACAGATTTCACTATATGTGAGTTTGAGAGTTGCAGTCTCTTTCAATTTGTTGTTGATATGTGGTGTATATCCATTATTTGTTGAAACATAGACAGTGAATTTTCTTGTTATGTACCTATTGTGTTTGCTTATGAGCATTCCTCTTCGTTTGTGTGTTATTTGTTTGATTATTTTCAGCTAAATCAGCAGATTGCCTTGTGGTTATGTAGAATGTAAGGAACCCATGAGCAGAAAACTGCACAGAATGGGGCTGAGGAAATCCTCCTTGGACGCCGATGGGTTGTCATTTGAACAATGGGTTGTCATTTGAACGATGCAATATTCCCGAAGCTCAATACAACCATCTCCCCGAGCGTTTTCCCTTTTGAAGAAGAATATTCACATCGCAACCTACTACACCTCAAGACACAAGCATCAACAAATGTAGCAGAGAAACATCAATTGCAACCACAGATTCAAAGTGTATTTTGTGATCTTAGTTCGTATCAAGAATATGGCCCCATGTATTGCTCTTGTGTTTATTTTCATTTGATGGCCTATGGACATGTAAAGGTATTGTATGTTCTTCCACTAAAACAATATAAGACAGTTAGATATGCATTTTATTGCTTTGTGTGTTTGGATTATAATTCTATAAGTTCAGTTACGTATGCATTTTCATGTAAGGGCAGTGGACATGGTCACCAGTGGACATGGTTATCTTAGTTTGGATTAAAATTTGGACTCAGTCCCAGCTTTTCAACCAGTGACATATAATTTGGACTCAGTCCCAGCTTTTCAACCAGGAACTGTTTCAGAACTTGTTTCTTTACACCAATGACTTGCATTATACACCAATGACTTGCAGTATAATTTGGACTCAGTCCCAGCTCTTCTGCAGTATACACCAATGACTTGCAGAACACCAAAATCTAACATATGCTATAATACAGATACACCAATGACTTGTTTCTTTACAAGCTGTTGTAGTATAAATAAAGATACACCAAAATCAAACAAAGTAATAATACAAATACACCAAAATCAAACATATGCTATCGATCACGCTAGCTAAATTCAGGCTGAAGCTTTCTGAAGCAGATGATATTATGAAATCCATTAATCTGTTAAATTGAAATCCATCAATCTGTCAAACATATGCCACTTTATCAACAAATCAGTTAAATAAATCAACAACAATCAACAATCTGTTCACACAATCAACAATCTGTTCTTCCTTCAAGCAAACCAGTTAAATAAATTCATCAACAAAGCAACAATCTGTTCACACAAATCTGAACTGACACTGATGATTACATTTGAAACAATCAACAATCTACAACTCCACAATCAACAACAATCATTACAACAGGTTCCACAATCCAAACCTATTCACTAAACTTTTTGAAAGGCATCGCCACTTTTTGAAGGTTCCACAATCCAAATCTATCCAAAAGCAACCCAAAAGATGAAAAGCTGTGATATACTACAATCTCACAACATAGAAAATTATTTCATTCATTCTAGAATGAACAAAAATCATACTACAATCAATAGTCATTACATTTTTTTTTCAAAATCCCCATCTACTCATCGTCGGCAGGGGTGTTTTCCTGCACCTCTTCTTGTTGTCTCCAGCGAGCTCTTGGACCTGATCAAAGGATAAGAAGTTAACTGTTAGGATCCCAATCCAAATCAAATCCAAACCAAATCCAAATAATAGTAAATGCTTTTTAATTATTGTTAAGTTAGGTTTGTTTTTAAAATGTAAGATTTTGATACGTTAGGAACGAGAAATGGGAATGAATCACTACTGGTTATATGTTACTGGATGACGACGACGACTTAAGATAATGAGCTCTTATTGCCAAAACTCCAGTGGCTTTTAGATACGCATTGAGTACTCCTCAATTTATTGTAAATGCTTAGTAGATTTGTTGTTAACTAAGTTAACTGGTTCATATCCATCCAAACATATATATGCATATCCAAACATGTAGCTAACTAGCTCTTCCGTGCAAGTTCCTTGTTTTCTTATTACTTTCTACAGATGGTCTGTGGTGCGTGTTGTTCGCGGTGAAAATTGTGTCTTTCTTCATTGTTGATTCCATTGTCATCTTCAATAACAGCTTTTTGAGTTACAAAGATCCGGTCTTTTTATAAGATCCGGTTACAATGAAAATCAAAGAAAATAGAAAAAGATTACAACTTTCTCCTTGTTTGTCGAACAAATCGCGAGCTCCTGTTTTGCGGTC